TACTTCAGAAAATGTCTGTGACCAAACATATACACCATACTGCTTTTCTATTTTTGCTTCACAGTGATTTGTATTAAGAACCTTTTCTCTGTTTTGTCCAGAGTTGTTGAGCTGCTTACATATATACTTTTTAAGTTTTTAAAGTTGAGAGACATTTGGGGCTGTAACAATTTCGTCTCTTTTTTTTTTCCCTAGACTGATCGGTTTTTCCTGTCCTAACTTCAACTGCATGAACTCAGGTCTTTGTAACGCTGCCTACTCCTAACTCTTATCCTCCAAACTTTACTCCTAAATCTTATCCTCTAGACTTCTTTCAATGCTTATTCAGTCTGTTCTTCTATCCGGGGCAATTCTACCAGCTTATCTTCAAGATAGCTGACTTCTCTGTCACTTCCATTCTGTTTTGGAGTCCATGCAATTAATTTTATTTTGTAGTTTTTACTCCTCAGCTTCTCCTCAGAGAACTTCTACTTTTCAGTTTTGCAAATGTGTTTACTTCATGAAGCACAGCTGTAATAACTGCTTTTAATTACTTGCTTTTTCCAACATCTGGATCATCCCAGGCTTGCCACCTGTTCATTGTCTTTTCCTGAGATTACTCTATGGCTCTTCATATATCTAATAATTTTAGATTGCATCTTAGACAAGGTAAATGTTATATTTTGCAAATTCATTTGATTTGGCAGGCAGATATTACAGCTATGTTCAAGCCACAATTTCTACTACACCTTCAACTGACAGTATTTCTTAATATTGCTTCTGTCCTCAAAGTCTTTGTTATGCAGTTTTGAGCCTGATCCAAGGGTTTACTTGAGGCTTTGGTCATAGTTTAAATTTTGCTTTCAATAATATGGGATTCTTCCATACATTTGAAACTAACAATGAGCCTAAGAATATGCAAATTTGTATGCATAATCAGCAGGTCTCTCCAGTACTGTCCTTACGTAGTATTTGCCTTTAGGTTATAATTAGCTAATTGCTCACAGGAAAAACACATTTGTGTTGGGATTTTAGCAGCTGCAACTACTGCTACTAGCCAGCTCCAGATTAGGGCCCTCCCTCAGAGCAAAGTAGTAAGAGAAAAAGTAAGCTGGAGGATCCACTGCCTACAGGGTCACTCACCAAGTTACCACACGTATCACCTGCCTACTTTGGTATATGTGACAAAATCTTTGGGTAATTCCTTTTTGTATATTAACAAGTGTTATTATTTTCTGGTTGGTTGTTTGGTTGGTTTTTTGAAACAGGATGACTTGTAATACAGACTGGCCTCAAACTTCCTTTGTGACTCAGGATGCCTTTGATCTCCTGATACTGATGCCTCTACCTCCCAGATACTGGTATTACAGGCTTGTGTCATCATGCTAAGCTTGATTACAGTTTTCAAATGTAATTAGCAAGACAGCAAGAGTGAGGCAGTAGTGGGGTTACTTCAGCGAAGCTGGCAAGTGACCCCACACTGCACATGAAGAATTCAGTAGCACTGAAAGCTAGTCATGGTGGTACACACTTGTAATCCTAGCATCCTTGGCTACACAGTTAAGTTCAAGACCCGGCTGAGATACATGAGAGCCTGTCTTTAAAAAATAAAAATAGCACTGAAATTTACACACATAAAATTCTACAGAGTAACTTATATACAAAAAGTAAACCAGTGAGGCTAAAGGGATGATTCAGCCAGTAAAGTAATTGCCAAGCAAGTATATGACCTGAATGTGAATTCCTAGCACTCACTTAAGAACCAGGTACAGCAAAATGACTCTTTAACCTCGATGCTAGGGAGTGAGAGGTGGTGGAGACAAAACAGATCCCCAGAGTTCACTAGTTGTCATTCTAGCTCTTTATTCAGTGAAAGGCCCTGCCTCAAAAACTAATATGGAAATCCACAAGAAAACAACCAACAACAATGTCTGGCCTCCATACACATATTCACATGTGGGTCCAGGGTACATGCATACACATACAAAATAATTTTTTAAAGAAGTAAATCAACTGTGGATTCCTTAAAAGTACAACTATAGGATAATAATGAGAACGCTCAATCAGGAAAGTGTTTGCTTTTCTATGTCTATGATGACCTGATTTTAATCCCCCAAACCCATATTCTCTTTTTAAAAACTACAATTTGGGGGGTATAGTTCAGTAGTAGATTGCTTACCTAGTATGTTCAAGGTATCAGGTTCAATCCGTAGCAAAGAGGGAGAGAATGAAACTGAGTAAAAATGCAACCCTGAACTATTTGTGAAAAGGGAAATAAAGGACCAAATGACCACTTGTGGCAAACAAAATACTGTAGCACATTACTGTAGGAGAAAAATAAGCAGCCTGCCTTTCAAGATTAGATTTATACATATTTTAAGATATGCTACTAAATACATGTTTATTGCAGCATACTGACCTCCATAGAGACAGTGCCATGATAAGTGAAAACTAGAAGAGTACTGAATGATTGCCTCAATGAGGAAAAACAATTAAGTATGAACAAAAGACATGATGAACTGCTACTATGTGTATTCTATGTGCAAACTTGCTGGAAGGAACACAGAAGAACCTGCATGCTTCAGTTAGCACCTTAGAGTTTTCTAAGAAGTGCTGAGAGTGATGAAGGCCCATGTCTGCTAAAAAAACAAGGAAAATTTGAAGATACTGCAAAGTGTTCAAGATTTGTTATGAGAGACAGGAAATTCTCTGTCTCCCCAGAAGGAAACAAGAAAGTTCAGGGACCCCAAAGAAACCTTTCCCATCACCTAACTGTATTGTGGCTGAGCAGCACAAAAAACAAAGGAGAACATCCTGCCTGATTCACTGGTGATGCTGCAAAGAAACTGGGAAGGATACGGAACTCACTGCGGCAGGTGACACCCAGCCTCTGGGAAAGAAGGCTACTAAGCCATAGGAAAAATATGCAAAGAGTACTGCTGCCTACAGAGCTAATGGAGAATCAGATGCAGCAAAAAGGAGTTGTCAAGAATGAAAAGGATCAGAAACAAAGAGGAAGGAGATGAAGAGAAAAAAAGATCAAGATGATAATAAGCTGGTTCTAACATTTTTGCAAATATATACTACATTAATCCTATATACAACTCACTTCTTTTAAAGTAAATAACTGAAATGTAAAGTTGTGTAAAGGTTTGCTTTCAAAGTTTACAATGTAAACATAACCTAATATGTCTTTAGCTGTAACCCAGTCATGATCATATTTCTAATAACCACTAGCCTTTTAGTACAACACAGAGGTTGTAAAGTATCATGCACATATAAAGCAGATTCTTACTGGTGCACATTTATGGGGATGGTAGTTTTTTTTCACCTCCTATCTCTGATGCAGTATATACAAATGCTATTACCCCATTAGGTTTCAAATCCTTAACAAATAAGGGCCATGTTTCAATTTTCTCGATACATTTCATATGATCCATTTGAGTTCTCACTATTGTGAGAACTAATGCTATTTACTAGCTTTGACGAAGTTAAAGGAGAAAGAAGACTGCCCTTACAATTTCAACTAATACTGGTAAGCTTTTGTAAAACTTCTCCCACTAAACATCATCTATCTGAATGCTGTAAATGGCATGAATTATGCTGCCTAACTCTATGGGAACACAATTAATTGTAAGTAAACCTGTTACAATACAGCAAGAGGTGGGACCAAGGTGGGCAAAGGACATAAGGAGGATGAGAAACAGAGACCTACAAACAGAACTTACATGGAAAATTTATTGGTGGAAGATAAGGAGAGAAAGAAGAGAGAAAGAGAGAGAGAAGAAGAGGCAGAGACAGAGACAAATAAAGCTGCCTCCTTAGAGAGAGAGTAGGCGGAGTTTTTCTCTTAAAAGAGACCTCCACACCTGTGTACAGAGTTTGCCATACACAGGGGCACTGTGCCAGGCTCCCAAGGGACAAGGCCAGGTCTGCCTGGATTATTACAATGCCTGTAACCACTGGAAAGGTCTAACACGATGGATAAAAGCAAGTTATGAAGGTCTGAGAATGGAAGGTATAAAGGTCTAAAAATGGAAGGTCTAAGATGGTAATGTAAGGTGTATAAATTAAAGTTATGAAGGTCTGAGGATAAAAAGGCTTAAGTGATGATAAAGTGAGTTGAGACATTAAAAAGAATGAAATATGTTTCTCTCTTCTCTCTCTCCTTATTCCCTTATCTTCCATCAATAAATTTTCCATGTAAGTTCTGTCTGTAGGTCTGTTTCTCACCCCCATATTCTTAATGTCATTTTTGTTGTTTTGGTTTTTTTTTTTTTTTTTTTTTAAGGACAAGCTCTCTCTACATAGCCCTGATTGTCCTGAAACTCACTATGTAGACAAGGCTGGCCTTGAACTCACAGATATCCACTTTCCTCTACCCCAGGGTGCTGGGATTAAAGGTTTCAGCAACCACATTCAGCTACTGATGTGTATTGTAAAACTTTAGTAGGAGTCCCAAGATCAAATTATTGGCCAAACACTTAAAAAGGGAGCAGTAACTCTTCATTTATTCTACTTCCCAGAACTGTAGCAGAGTATAAAAGTGAGTATTTGGCTTTTAAAATATAATTCTTATGGTGTACAGTAAGAAATGCTGCATAACAAATATGTTAATGTTATAGTATCTGAAAACCAAGGATTTATTGTAAAGCTTTAAAAAATTAAAAATAAATGGAAAGGTTTATATTTAAATAACTCGAAGCAGTTACTGCCTTCCTTACTTGATGAAAGTTCCACTTTTGATTCTTGAATCATTTAAATGACATCAGAGTACACCTGAATTTATATTAATGCATGTAAAGTATTCCCTAACACTGTTACACTGTTACACTGTGTGTGTGGGGGGAAACAATCTGACTAATTATCAGCCTCACTTCTGTTAGGCAAAACAACAGATCATGTAGCAGGCCTTTTCTAGGTTAGCAACTTAGTATTAACAGGGATACCAAGTTTTACTCTAAAAAAAAAAAAAGTAAATTAGGAATTAAAAAGAAGCAAAATGTAGCAAATATACTTACTCCTTTTGTAAAGCCATACACAAAGGGGAATTGAACCCAAAGACCAAGCACATCTGTGCATCTGGGGCATAGCCATTCTGCAGTAATATTTCCAGGCATTCTTCCCGTCCTCCAAACACTGCTGAGTAAACAGGGCTCACTTTGTCTGGTCCAGTGTCACAAGTGCGATTAGTAAGTGGTATTAACAAGTCCAAGATCCTTCAAATACACAAATGGAAGGAATATTTAATATAGGAAATAAATGTTTTCTTTGTTCACTATTATTTGCTTTACCATCACCATGACCTATGTTACCAAATCCAATTTCATGTTTAATATTTCAGGACCTAGTAAATTATTTAAATACTTATTACATTAAACATAAACTGGCTGGGAAATAGGGGCTAGGGATATTGCCCAGAGATAGAGTGCTTGCCTACTCTGCTGGAGGCCCTGGGAATGTATATTGACCAGTTGTGGTAACACATACCTATAAGTCAGCAGTCAGAGGCTGAAACAGGATAATCATGAGTTGAAGGCCTACCACAGCTGCAAAACAAATTCCGGGAGCCAGAACTACCTAGCACTGGCTCTGTTTCACAAACAAACAAACAGTAACAAAAAATAAAATGAAGTATTTTCCTTCTTAGATACTAATTGGTTTCATAAGAATATTTAAAGATGGTTAGTGACAATGAAATGAGAAATTATATTTGTAATCAGAAGAAATTTAAATCTATAGTAAAATACTGCATTCTCAGAAAAAAATGTAATCATTAACATCTGAGGTATATTTATAAAGAAGTAGCTGCTTTTCCCTCCATAAAACAGACCTAAAATAACACTGGAGACCAGCTAAAACCACAGATGGATTACCTTTGCAGCAGGCTACGGATGAAATCAGTGGCAACAGAATTCTCAAAATTGGACACAATTAAGCACAAATTCCTATGGGAGTTTTGGTGTCAATTTAAAGCTAGGTATACCTGTTTAAAGATTTTTCTAAACAAATAATGAACAATCAGAGGAAACTGATTTAAACTTCTTTTGTATAGGATACAAAACTGTTTGTGGACCTGGGAAAACCTAGAGAAGGAACATGAATGTGTTCAAAACATCTATGAAAGTCTCAAATAACTAATCATACATTTTAAAGAGCAAGTAGAATGTTAGGCGGTGGTGGCGCATGCTTTTAATCCCAGCACTCGGGAGGCAGAGGCAGGCAGATCTCTGTGAGTTCAAGACCAGCCTGGTCTCCAGTGCGAGTGCCAGGATAGGCTCCAAAGTTACACCGAGAAACCCTGTCCCCAAAAAAAAAAAAAAAAAAAAAAAAACGCAAGTAGAAGAAATATCAAACGTTGAAACCAAATATTGTATTTAAAAATCTGCATGATACCTCTTAAATATAATAAATGTGTCTAAGTTTTAAAGATGAGCTAGAAAAAGTATACTGTCACAAGACTCTGAAGACACATGCTGCCTAGCAACAAAACAGCCAGCTTATTGTCCAAACATAATGAACAACACTACTGATATCTACAGAAAGTACTATTGTAGAATGATGACCCTTACTGCAAACATGGTTTTTAAATCTGTCCACAGTGACTTATAGAAGGAAGCCTTATTCTCACTAACATAACCAGGCCACTAACTATAGAATTCCCATACTCCTCATATATTCTCTCCAAAGTATACCAGCAATTCCCTATGGACATCTAACAGTAACAAGCAGGAGATAATATCAGGCTGGGGGTGAGATTAGGTAACAAGTCTAATAAAGGGGTGAGGATAAGAAGGACTACTCATCACACACAAAAGGAAGAAAGGGAGATAGTGCAATTAGTGACTAAGCCCATCACACTGCTAGTTGAAGATGCTTGGGATATAACCAGGAGGAAAAGGAAAGGATGGCTATTAGCTGAAGAAATCCTGAGAAAGCTCTGGTACCTACTCCATCTCTAGCCATTCTTCCTCAAAATGGGGAAATGGAAAATTTGGAGGAATGGAGGAGATGAAAACAGCCTGGGGGAAGTGAAGAGTAAATTTAGGGTGGCTCAGATCCACCCTTTATTTGCTTTTCCTTCTGAAACCATTTTTATTCTATTTTGAGCACTTACTTTGCATGGCCCATTTGTGCAGCGGCATGAATAGGCAACTGCCAATTGTCTTCATTACAGTAAAGATCAGGATCTGCCCCACTGGACAGCAAAAGTTCCACACATTTTATATGACCCTCTTGTGCAGCAATAAACAAGGGAGTAGCTTTGTCCAAGGCTTGACAATTGATATTTGCACCTAACACAAAACAAAACATTTAACCAATAATCCTCATAGGTGTTTTAAAAAACTAACACAATAACATATATTTCAAACTGCCATAAAGGCTTTCATAGTACATCAGCTTTCACCCTTAGTGGATGCTGTTGGGGAAAATATACTTATTTTATTAACCTGTTGACAATTATTTAAATTGTTTTTGGTCTCCATCAGTAAGAACACAAATGATCACATTATAGAATTCATTTTTTAAAAAAAATCATATTCAATGAAGGGTACTTATTCCAATCCCTCTTCTAGCAAGCACTTTGGTTTCAAAGCACAAATATTTTTTTTTAAGATTTATTTTACAGTCCATCATGGGGTGGGTGTGTGTGTGTGTGTGTGTGTGTGTGTGTGTGTGTGTGTGTATACGCACATCAGTGCATGTGCGTGCATGTGCATGCAAATATCCATGAAGGCCAGAAGGGGGCGTCAGATTCTTTTGGAGCTGGAGTTCATAGTGAGTCTACCTAACATGAGTGCTGGATCTAAATTCCACCCTTCTGCAAGGGCAGCAATGGTCTTAGCCACTGAGTCATCTCTCAAGCCCCAAAGTATAAACATTTTAGGAGGAAAAGAGGCTAGAAGTGGTGATAAAGGCCTATAATTCCAGCTCTTGGAGTTTGAGAAAAAAGACTTTTGAGTTTGAGGCTAACCTGACTTAAAAAAAAATAAAGAAAGAAAGAATAAATATAAATAACATGGATGATAATTCCCAGGAAAGCATACGTTATGAAATTTTATGGATGTCAACATTGATTTTAGACTAAGATTTAAGAGAGAAATTACCAGTATATATGACTGACATACATGGAATCTACAACTAAAAACTATTTTGATCAGTCTTACTTTTCTTCCTTTATGAGTATTGTATAGTAAAACAAACAATAAATGGGAACAATATTTTTTTAATGTATCTGAGCAGATTTTAAAATAAAAACTCTGTTATCTTAATACTACTAAACACAGATTTGAAAAGTCAGCCAGACATGGTGGCACACACCTTTAATCCCAATGCTTGGGAGGCAGAGGCAAGCAGATCTCTGTTAGTTAAAGGTCAGTTTGAGCTGGGCAATGGTGGTGTGTATCTTTAATTCCAGCACTTGAGAGGCAGAGGCAAGCAATTTTTGTGAGCTCAAGGTCAGCCTAGTCTACAGATCTACTTCCAGGACAGCCAGTGCAACACACAGAAACCCTGTCTTAAAAACAAACAAACAAACAGGGGCTGGAGAGATGGCTCAGTGGTTAAGAGCACTGGTTGTTCTTCCAGAGGTCCTGAGTTCGATTCCCAGAAACCATATGGTGGCTCACAACCATCTGTAATGAGATCTGGGGCCCTCTTCTGGCCTGGGTACATGCAGACAGAACACTGTATACATAATAAATAAATAAATCTTTAAAAAAAAAACACAAACAAACAAAAGGTCAGCTTGGTCAACATAGTGACTTTCAGTATAGCAAAACTACATGGTGAGATCCTGTTTCCATAAGTAAAAAACACACAAACAAAATGATTTGAAAAGGTTGAAAATGAGCTTACTTCTTGTGAAACTTTTGAAAAATAGCAGATTTCCCTAATATTGTCAGCAAATAACATAGTAATTCTGTTAAGACTTTCACTATCACATGGTAGTGCTAATTTTTACATTTCTTAAATAGATCTCAGTATAAATACCATAAGACATCAGGGAAAATTAACTATCTTTTATTCAACATAATCTTACATAAGTACATCTTGAACAAGCTACATGGGGTAAATAAATTAAAGACGGTGTGGAACCTTCATGAATTGCAATCGAAAACATGCTAGGCAACTAGAATCATCTTGACTTCGGTGGCTCTTCTGGGGTCAGCTTCAGAGACATAAACACAATCACTGAGAAAAGAGTCAACAGTAAGACTTGCTTTTTAAAAAAATCAACCTTCTAGTTTGAGTGACAACTTCAGAGTATCAGAAATAATAAGGAATCAGTTCCTCTAAGACTACAATTGAAAAAGTTTAAAAAATAACAGACACTAGAAGTCATTATTAGGAGTGAGTTACATAACGAACAGATCTTTATACCTTTTAATTATATAAAAATTACTATTTATAAGTTTACAGAGAAGAAAAAAATTAAAAGCAAAGGTACAGGTATAAACATGCCCTGATTGTGCCAAAAAATATTACTTTCTAGGTCTCTGGCCATCACTTATCACCCAGAGTCTGATGTTCGTAACAGGAAAATGCATCATTTCAAGAATTTAGGAATTACTTATGATACAGGTTCATAATTTCTCAGATACCTTTCACCTCAAACTTAATGAAGGTTCCTTTCTTGACTTTATATAAAGATTTCTAAAAAAAAAAAAAAAAAAAAAAAGAAAAGAAATAAAAAAAAAAAACATGCTGTTGTGGCATCTTGCCTTGCCAGTGAACTTGTAGCAGTGCCCACATCCTTTGGGCATGGTTTTAGGTACAGATATGAACCCTTTAAGGTAGGAGAGCGACAGGCGTATGTTCTCTTGGGTCATGGAGACTGCATCTTCTGGAGCAGGAAGGCCATGGTGGTTATTGACGGGACCAGCTCCCCATTTTGGCAGCCATAACAGCCTAGCACGTGCTTGCCTGACCTTGCCTTGGTCACTAGGAGGTCAGACGCCTGCCTCATGGCAAGGAACCAATCAGAAGTTAGCTGGGGGTGCTATGCTTTACCGCTCTGGGTGTGCTTTATGGACAAGTACACAGCAATGATGTGCAGAGGATAGCAACCACCCTGGGAGGGCCTATGGACCATAACAACCAGTTGACCAATCAACACAGGGCAAACCCTCCAAGCCTGGAGACACACCAATTCTGAGCCTGTGTGTATCCCTAGACACTCCCCTTACGCTGCCCTATAAGAGCTCTATGCCATGGCTTTGCAGCATCTTTCCTAGCCATCCGCCATTGTGGATGGATGAAAGGATGAATGAAAGGCCTGAGCTAACATGGGGTTAGCTCGTTAAACAACTACAATAAAGCCTCATGCTGTTTGCATCCAGCTTTCCGACTCAGCCTGGTGATTGGGGTTGGCTGTGGTCCTGGATGGAGATCCTGGGGGCCTGAGCCTCCAGGGGTCTTTCAGTTATTTACTCTTATCTGTGTAAGTTCTTCCCTAATAAAACACCTATTTATCATTTACCTTGGGTCTGGTGAACTCATTTAAACCCCGCCTTCACTATGCCCTGTTTTTTCGGTAAGCTTTGGTCTATTTGGAGGGTTATTTTCTTTTTGTTTTGCTTCTATTTTTTTGAGACTGGGTCTCTCTCGGTCCTCCGGGTAGAATTATTCACTATGTAGGCCAGTCAGCAAAACTGGTGACATGTCCCTCCTCTGACTACCCATGGTTTCTCAGCTTGGCTCTGCCAGAGCACACACCCTGAAAAGACTTTCTATGGTGAGTCCTTCTGGTCAGAAGACGTTACGTTACAGAGTTGGGGAAAGAGATATGCCACACAAAACATACAATTCAAAGGCTTAATATACAAAATGATCACCTAATAAACTAACCCTAGAGTAGGTATACCTAAAAAAGTCACTGAACTAACTGCAGGGAACCTGGTCAGGACCATCACATTCCTATGCAGATCAGTGGGCAGGGTGTGTGTCATTGCTGGTGACATACTTAATAAAATAACCAGGACTGACATCAACTGTGTACACTTTTATTTGCTACTTACATAAATTTCATCATTTGATTCAGGAATTATTCATTCTAGGAACTGTTAAAACCATGATCCTCCTGGCACAAAGATAAACTGTTCTTACCAGATGAAATAAGAATGTCCAAGCTCTTGAGCTTCCCATACTGAGCAGCTACAAACAAGGGTGTGATTCCGAAGTCATCCTGGCATTCGAGGTCTGTTCCATGCTTAAGAAGAAGTTCTATAATCTCAGCATTTCCCTAAGTACACATATGAATTTTGAGTTAAGAAACCCCTTTCTTGTGTTTTTAGTTTCTTATCTTCTCAGTAAACAAAAACTTTAAGAAAAAATGCAGTGTCTCATTTCAACAATAGAAAAGACATGACTAATCATATTACCCTAGACTTCTGCACAGCCCATTAAATATAAACACACTGACCTCTAGCAATTTTAACCCTTAAAGTCCTATGAAGTTAGATTACTAACTCAAGTAATAGTAAATATGCTTTCTAAACATGCAATTACAATAAAATATACCATTTCTCTTTACCCCATAGATTCTGATAGTTTCATAACTATGTGGCTGACATTTTAAATTAAGATAATCCCTACAGCCCAAAGCTGCTCTGGTCACTGTAGAAGCTGGCTTATTTAAAATGGTCATCAGCATTTAGACTGCCTTTTCTAATCATAAATCACAGGCAAGTAGAAGGCAAAACCCGTATAGAACTGTCATTTTAAAAGGGTAAGACATATAATTTACATGAAAATGAAACACTAAATTCAGAGATTACCTGGAAAGAAGCCTTATGCAAAGCATTCCATCCACACATAGAATGGAAGCCAGTGATTTTAGCTCCATGTTGAAGCAACAGCTTCAGCACATCTATCTGTCCACTTTCAACAGCTGAAACACAGCAGTCAGAAAAATTACAGTTAGCAAAAGATGTCTATAGGATTGGACACTTCTTGATGTTCTCATCATTTTATACACCTTGGAATACACAATGCTATGATCATTTCAAACATTTATCACATAACCATCTGAGGCCAATTTCCTATGCATAGGCCTTTCTGCATACTAGGATAGGGAGTTGGCTCTGTGAGCAATACCTCTGCCATACAAGTATGAAGACCAGAGTTCAAGTACCTAGAACCCATGTATACCTGGACTGGATTCCCAACACTCCCACAGCTACATGGGAAACAGAGATGGATAAATCTCCAGAAGCTCAGAAGCCAGCCTGGAGTATACAGGGGTGAACAAGAGACCCTGATTCAAACAAGGTGGAGACACCTAAGATTCTCCTCTGTCCTTACATTTGAGCCCCCTATACATACCCTACCCACATACATGCACACACACTCAGATTTAAAATAAACTACATCCACATATATCATTTTCAAACTACAGAAAAATGAAGGATAGAGAAAAAGAAGTCCTGGGTTGGGGTGATAGCTCAGTTGGTAAGGTATCATTTTCAAACTACAGAAAAATGAAGGATAGAGAAAAAGAAGTCCTGGGGGGGGGTGATAGCTTAATTGGTAAGGTCCCTGCCACACTGGGGAGTGGGGGGTAGGTGGGTGTATATTTTGGAACTCTATTCCACCCTACCAGAAGTTCAAGACAGCCCAGAATTTCTATTGTCTTTTAGATGTCAGCTAATAGCTGTTACATGTCCTGGCCTCAGTGGAGAATGGCTCCTATCTAAATAACAAGACTTGGGCCAGAGCAAGTCTACAACCACCCTGAAGGCTAGTGAGACATGCTGGGTTCAAGGTGCCTGAAGGCTTGAGTACATGCTGCTAAGGAGTGTCTTTAGGATTAAGGGAATAATACCACACAAGCTTAAGGACCTAAATTTGATATCCATAACATACACTTAAAAAGTTAGACATGGGGCTGGAAAGATGGCTCAGTGGTTAAGAGCACTAGCAGTTTTTTCAGAGGACCCAAGATCAAGTCTCAAAACCCACATAGTGGCTCACAACCATCTGTAGCTCTAGCCAGAAAGTATCCTATGTCTCCTTCTGGCACCACACATGTGGTACACAGACATATTTACACCCAAACAGATTTTTTAAAAAAGAGGGGGGGGGCTGAAAAAAAAAAGAAAAACAAGACAGCACTTGTAATCCTAGCACTGGAGAGCTAGAGGCGGGCAGATTCCTGAAACATAAGTGAAATTGATTCCATTCACCTGGTTTTGGGATATACAACTACAATTTAAACATATTGTCTCCAATCAATGGCAATCATAACTGATTAGCTTAGAAACCAAATAATATGTTTATGCTAAAATACTTCAGCAACTTAATCATTATAGTAAAGCTGAAGAACTGTTTACTGTTTATTGGAGACATATAATTAATAAACTTGAATTATATCTATACATTTATACAATGTTTGGGAACTAAACTGTCTTTTCCTCAACTATGTGGTTACTCACACTTTTTAAAATTAAATGCAGTTCCATATTTCATGTGATTTTCAACATTAAAAAGTAACTAGGAATATTATCAAATAAAACACACTTCTTATACTAGACTAATGATAAACTGTGGTGATATCTTGCTTGTACAAATAAAGCTTGTCTGGATCAGAGGATGGAGCTTGCCACTAGCCAAACATAGAGATAGAGGTCTGGAGGTCTGTACAGACAGACAGAAAGTGAGATGGCTGGGCAGAGAGAGGATATAAGCAGAAGAAACAGGAACTCACTCTCTTTTCCACTGGGAAGCTAATGAGATAAAGGTGGCTTTGGTTTGCTCCTCTCTGATCTCTGGGCATTTTCCTCTATATCTGACTCTGGGTTTTTTATTATTTAGACCAATTAAGAACTCCATTTACAATAACCCGTATGAGAAGTATACTACAGAACACTTTGTTACAGAATTTATCAATTGCGATAAACAGAGAACAGACATTATGTGGTGGTTTGAACAGGCATGGCCTCCACAGACCCCTGTATTTGAATGCTCCGCTGAAAGGGAGTGGAACTATTAAATGGTATGGTCTTGGTGGAATACATGTGGCCTTGTTGGAGAGGTGTGTCACTGTGGAGGCAGGCTTTGAGTGTGTCAATGTTTCCTTCTGCTACCTCAGGATCGATATGTAGGACTCTCAGCTCCTTCTCCAGCTCCATGTCTGCCTGTACACCACTATGTTCCACCATAATGATAATGAACTAAACCTCCAAAACTGTAAACCAGCCCCAATTAAATGTTTTCCTTTATAATAGTTGTCATGGACATGGTGTCTCTTCAAAGCAACAGAAACTCTAAGACACATTTCATGAAGTAAACACTATAGTAAAGAGACATAAGGGACATAACGATGCTACAAGAACCTCATTGAGATCCTGATTTCAACAAACTAATACACAAACACACTATAATCAGTTACATTTCATCACTGAGTGGATATTTGGTATTATTAATAAAATGTTTTCTATTTTAGATATAGTAATATGTATTGTTTGCCAAGACTATTGGTTGTTATTCTCCACAACCTGATGATATGGCCCTATTGTGGAAGACAACACTTACTTATGCCATCCAACATGGAGAAATCAAGCTGGTTGCCAACTATAAATGTTACCCCCTACTGACTAGCATTCATGATACTGGAAGGTTACTTGGTACACAACCAAAAAAGAAAGATAATAATAAATATGACTCAGCGACAAATCCTGCTGCTACCTACAAAAGTGATCTCCCTATAAGACATACTGACATAATAGTGGCACAAATACTAATGAAGTAACTGACCACTTTTTGATTGGACTCACAGCCCCACACCATGAGGCAGGACCCATACCCAATAAGGCTAATGTGAACAAGAACCTCAGACTAGATAGGTCATAGGCCTAAGGGGAAAACTGATATTTATTCTGATAAGGAATACAACACTAAAATGTCTTCTAACTGATCTGTATCCATAGATCAGCCTTCACTCAACACATATCAGATAAGATTCTTTTAGAGATAGATAGGAATGTAAACACTGATACACATTGGAGCACTTGGTCCTACGTGGGATGTTTTCATCAAAGCCTTCCACTCAAGGCTCAGGAATCTATGTGAAAGATGTAGAAAGAATTATTCTAAGAGCCAGAGGTCATGGATGACTCCAAAGCAACAGCATCTTCCAGAACACAACAGGATTAATGCACATGAACTCACAGAGACAGTGGAAGCATGCATAAAATCTGAAAAGGTTCAAGCCAGACAAGGTCCCAGCACTGAGAAGGGGAAACGGACACTGACTCCCACAACTAAGCAAGAAGCAATCTGCAATTGATGCCCAATGGAAATGGAAAAATCAGCTTTCTCCAATGTAGTCTCACTGAGTATATCAACACTTCAGGACAGACCCCTCGTACAGGGGTACTTGGCCAATGCAAAAAGAATTTTTGTGGGCTTTTAATTTCATTTGCTTTGTTTTTTTTTTTTGTTTTTGTTTTTGTTTTTTTTGGCTGTTTTGATTTTCATTTCAGTGCTTTTCTGCAGGTCTTTTTTTTTCTTTTTTTTTTCATTTCTTGATTTGTTTCTGTGGTAGATTTGAAGAAAATAGCCCCCAAGGGGAGTGGCACTAGTGTGGCCTTGTTGGAAGAAGTGTGTCACTGTGGGGGAGGGCTTTCAGGTCATTTTTGCTCAAGGTTCCTTCAATGGGACATCCAGTCAATTTTCTGTTGCCTGCGAGATGTGGCACTCTCAGCTCTAGCACCACAAATGCATGAAGACCATAATCATCCCACCATGATGATAATGGATGGACTGAACCTCTGAATTGTAAAGTCACCACTCCAATTCAATATTTTCCTTACAGGAGTTGCCATGGTCATGGTTTATGTTCACAGGAATAAAACCCAAACTAAGACAGCTTGTTTGGTTTTTAGGTTTTGGATTTTCTTTTTGAAAGAGAAATCTTTTTTCTTTTTGAAAGAGAGAAAAAAAAATGAACATAAAGTGGTATTGGTAGAAAATTCCTGGGAGGAATTGGAGGAGGGAAAAATACATGATCAACTACACTGTATGAAAACAATTTTCGATCTGGAAGAAGAGTTGAGTGCCTAATCTCCTGGCTGGACAGCCCTACTCTGTAAGCCAGGAACACATCATGTTCCCCTCCCACAAGCACCAAAGCCACATAGTTCAGGCAGAGGCATCTTCCCACACCAAAATCCCCTCCCCATGCTATACCAGTGACCACCAGAGCCACAGGCCCTACCTGTACCTGGAGGAAGAGGTGAGTGTCTGAGCCCCTAGCTGGACAGCCCTGCTCTCTAGGCCCTAGCCTCCAGGGAAATATTCAGTGCCCCTCCCCCACACACTGAAGATCCAGAGAGCAGGGGGCAACATCCTCCCCCCTCAAACATCACCCACCATATCACTGACCACCTGTGTTAGTTGCCACCTATGCTGATTAGAGGAGAGATGCCAATGTAGTAACACATTCAACAAAACAAAGAGCAAAATGGCACCCCCAGAAACCAATGGTTCTACAACAGCAAAACCTAGACATGCCAACACAGGTGAAGGAGAATAAATATCCTTAAAAATAACTTTATGAAGATAATAATGGCCCTTAAAGAAGAAATGGAAATTTCCACTAAAGAGATAGAAGAAAAGAAAAATCAAATTGGAAGAAAACAATAAATTCCTTAAAGAAAGTCAAGAAAAACACAATCAATCAAACAAGTTATGGAAATAGCCGGAGACTTCAAAACTGAAATGGGGCAATAAAGGAAACAAAACCAAGGAGATTATGGAAATAGAAAATCTGGGTAGGGCTGGAGAGATGGCTCAGAGGTTAAGAGCACCGGCTGTTCTTCCAGAGGTCCTGAGTTCAATTCCCAGCAACCACATGGTGGCTCACAACCATCCGTTATGAGATTTGTTTCCCTCTTCTGGTGTGCAGTTATACATGGAAGCAGAATGTTGCACATATAATAAAATAAAAATAAAATCTTAAAAAAAAAAGAAAAAAGAAAATCTGGGTAAATGAACAGGAACTACAGATGCAAACATAACCAATACAATACAAGAGATGGCAGAAAGAATCTCAAGTGTTGAAGATACAATAGAGGAAACAGATCCATCAAAGAAAATGTTAAATCCAACAAATTCTTAACATAAAACATCAAGGAAATCTGGGACACTATGAAAAGACCAAACATAGGAATAATGGGGTAGAAGAATCAGCTCAAAGGCCCAGAAAATATATTCAACAAAATCATAGAAGAAAACTTTCCCAACCTATGGAAGGGCATGTCTATGAAGGTACAAGAAGCTTGCAGAACACAAAGTAGACTGGTCCACACACACAAAAAAAAGTCCCTTCCCCATATAATAATCAAAACACTAAACATACAGAATATAGAAAGAATATTAAGAGCTGCAAAGGAAAAAGGACAAGTAACGTATTAAGGCAGACCTGTCAGATTGCACCTGACTTCTCAATGGAAACTCAGAAAGCCAGAGAAGGTCCTGGACAGACGTTCTGCAGACACTAAGGGATCACAAATGCCAGACAAGACTACTATATCCAGCAAAGTTTTCAAAAACCATATACAGACAAAATAAGGTAGTCCAGGAGAAAACCAGATTTAAATAATACCTATCCACAAATTGAGCCCTACAGAAAGTACTACAAGGAAAACTCCAACCCAAGGAAGTTAGCTAGATCCATAAAAGCACAGACAGTAGGTAATCACACATCAGCAAAGATGGGAAAACACACACCCACTACCAACACCACCACCAACAACAACAAAACAAGCAATAATAATTAACATTCACTGGTCATTAATATCTCTTAATACCAATGGGCTCAATTCGCCTATAAAAAGACACAGGCTAACACAATGGGTACAAAAACAGGAGCCATCTTTCTGTTGCACACAAGAAACACACCTCATGCCTGGCTTTGGTGACACACGCCTTGGGAGGCAGAGGCCAGCCTGGTCTACAAAGCTACACAGGGAAACCCTGTCTCTAAAAATAAAATGAAACACATCTCAACCTTAAAATCAGACATTACCTCAGAGTAAAGGGTTAGGAAAGATTTTCCAATGGCATGGACCTAAGAAACAAGCTAGTGTAGCTATCCTAATATGTAAATGGAGTTCTTAAAGGGTCTAAGTAATAACAATCCTGAGACAGATACAGAGGAAAATGCTGAGAGATCACAGAGAAGGAGCAAACCACTGACACAACTTACCCCCCTTAGCATCTCAGCAGACAAGAGAGCAAGTTCCTGTTTCTCTCTGCTTATATCCTGTTTTCACTCAGCTACCTCCCTTCATGTCTGTCTGTCCAGACCTCCAGACCTCTATGGATAACTAGTGGCAAGCTCCATTCTCTGACTTTCAAAGAGGCTTTATTTGTACAAGCAAGATATCACCACGTATCCCCTTTTTGATCTAAAATTAAAAAAAGTTATAACTAATGTAAAATATATATATACAATAAACACAGGCAGTTAAGTACATTAACGATGTCTAGTTCATTAGCATTAGACAAATCCAGAGAAAATACTCCATAATCTATTCTATCTTGATGACTTTAAAGTCTTGTACCTAATTTACTTTCTATTCTAATTTGCATTACCCAATTATCCTTTAATGTCTTTCAAACATACTACACTTAACACATCTTTAGTGAGTTTCTTTACTGATTCTGGTAAACAAAGAAAACTGTAACTATACTATTTGGTCTTCAACTCCCTCCAAGACCTGAGAAGGTAATAATATTAACAGAGTAAACAGGAAGTATGAGTAATCGACATCTAAAAAATGGTAGACAGAAACAGCAGGCTGCCTGGACAGTCACCCAAGGTTCCTCTGCAATGTTCAGCCTATAGGCCTAGCATATCTGACAGACATTTCTGTGAACCAGGATAATCCAAGGGACTGGACTGCCTTGTCTTGGCAAGGTTTGCAGTCACTCTTTTTGATACCCTGTTTGTCCAGTTTGGACAGCATACTGTCAGGAGTTGATGCAAGGGCACTTTCTTTTCCAGTGGCTTACCTTTACCACAAACTCCACGTGGAGTTTCTTCATGCCCATCATCTTCTCTGACGTAGATTGGTACTGCCAGGAACAGACATGTCTCATTGTCATAAAAAAGAACCTGTGTTATTAGAACATGTTAAATGCCATAGTCTGTACATCTTCGAAGTGTTTGAAGAAGTCCTGTCTTTCTAAAAAATGTTTGGCCATCTAATCATACCTAATATGTCTGCAAGTTTGATTTTAATAGTTAACTGATTACTAAATTACATTTCCTTATTATCCCATATAGTGATAATAACAACTTTCAAGTACTAGAGCTTTGTATTACATTTTTAAATGAGTTGTATGGGTATAATACCTTGAACAATATTAGAAACACATGTACAGTATATTTTAGCAAAATTAACCTCACATTTGTGTCAATATACATTTATATACAATATACATAAGTCTAATCCAATGTAAAATGTTGAAAGCTAGAAGTTGTTTTTTAAGAGTAAATACATGTCAATCCCTTCTCCCTCCCCCTCACCCCCATCTCCCTTCCCCCATCCCCTGCCTACCCCCCACCCCATCCACTCTCCACTCCACAGGCAGGGTAGGGCCCTCAACGGGGGCTCTGCAAAGTCCACCACATCATTCTGGGCTGGGCCTGAGCCCTTCCCCATGTGTCCAGGCCAAGAGTGCATCCCTTCACGTGGGATGGGCTCTCAAAGTCCCTTCTTACACCAGGAAAAATACTGATCCACTACCAGAGGCCCCCCTGGAGTGCAGAGGCCTCCTCATTGACATCCATGTTAAAGGGTCTGGATCAGTCTAGTAATGGCCTCCCAGACAGCATCTGGGGTCCATGTACTCCCCCTTGTTCAGGCCAGCTGTTTCTGTGGGTTTCTTCAACCTGGTACCGACCCCTTCGATCTTCATTCCGCCCTCTCTTCAACTAAGTTCCAGAGTTCAGTTCAGTGTATAACTGTGGATGTCTGCCTCTGCTTCCATCAGCCACTGAATGAGGGCTCTAGGATGGCATAAAAAGTAGTCATCAATCTCATTTTAGGGGAAGGGCATTTAGGTTATCCTCTCCACCACTGACTGGATTGTCAGTTCATGTCATTCTTGTAGGTCTCTGGGAATCTTCTTATTGCCAGATCTCTTCTCGGACCTATAATGGCTCCCTCTAATATGGTATCTCTCTAATTTGAACTAATAAAAAAATTTTTAAAATAGAGTAGATACAATAATCTACCGTTTCATCTTGTCATATCTATATCCTCTCTTTATTCTTTTCAGAGTAGATTCAATAATCTACCCTTTTTATCCTATCATAATCTGGAATCCTCCTTTGTTTTTCAAAACAAAAACTTTGAATATAATTCCCTTTGTTGAGCTTTCTTCCTGATCATAAGCAACAACATTTTGTAACCACCTAAAACAATGACAAATATCCATAACCCAATGAATGACCAAAACCCACCCACCCCACCTCTTGGGAACATGGGTATCATGTTCTTAAAGTCACTTCCTGTAGTCTGGGGTGGGGGGTGGGGGTGATATCTTTAGGAGATCCAGAAAAGAAAATCTGGGTTAATTATTAAGCTGTATCACTTGTTGTCTGGTCTCTGCATAATGGCCAAGTACAGCGCTTGTTTCAAATGCTGGCTAAAGCAGTCTGTCAGGCTGGAACTCAGCTAGCCACCTTGAAATTCTTCCAAGCAGTGTCTGTGAGGCTGGATAATCTCATCAAGTCACCTCAAAATTGTTATGAGAAGTTTGTAGTCCAAAGCTGATCTTTAGTTGGTGTTGTTTGGCATTATAGTGTTATAGTTCTGGTGAAATTGTCATTGCCCATCCTTTTTTTTTGGAGACTTCAAAGGTTGCTGTTAGGCATGGTCATGGTTCATGGTAAAATACTGAGAAAATCAAGCTAGAAATCATGTACATGAAGGTAGTAGATGAAACCTTTTTCTAGAATTGGTTAGTACTCTATATGACCATTAATATCATGACAAAAATTATGAGATTAGTAGCAATACAATAAGCTTAAATATTTTTCTTCTGTTCCCTATCAGATGGCTCTTTTGACATTAGACAGAGCTTTTATATTTTACTTTAACAAGCATGTGTGGGTTTAGAGAAGGAAGAGAACCATTTCCCAACTCCAAAGCCAGCTTTGAATCTTTAATTGGACTGAGACTACAAAAAGACCATTTGCATTGTATTTCTTTATATAAATAAGTAACAAACATTTTGGGAGGTTTATGAAATTTTACCCAGTTGTAAATGTGATATACCAATAGGCCAATTTGCTCTTTTTCTTGGGACAATTTTTCTCTGGATTCCTTAGCTGGATACTTTTATTCTCCTGAAAGGACATAAAAATAAAACCCTTCCCCAACCCTAAATTTTGGAGTTCTTCTTGGTAAGTTATATCTGATCAAATGAAAAACATTTGTTAGTTTTATAGGTTAGTTTAGATTAAATGATTTAGATTAGCTTACTGATGAACAACCATTGTTTCTAATCAAAAGGTACCTTGTTCAAATTGAATGTTTATCAATATGATGGAATCCATATTTTTTCTTCACCTTTGGAAACAAAGGCAAAAATATGTCTGGTTTCCATTCAGAGGTCAACACATCTTTGAAGTACACTGGGTGATGTAATTCCATAGTTTTTTTCTATTATCTAATGTCTCTCTGCAGCTGTTGTTCCTTTCTCATTAACATTCAGAAAATTCAAAGACAATAAAGCACTATGCAATCTCTTTTGGGGGTTCTTTATCATTTCTGTTTATTTAGCATTTCCTTTAGAGTTCAATTTGATCTTACTCTAACTGCCTACCTTGTAGGATTGTGTGGTATACCTGTAATATGCTCTGTATTATAATAAGCAAAAGTCTCTTTCATTTTCTTAAAGATATATGCAAGAGCATTGTTTGTCTTTATTTGTGGATATATACCTATAGGATATATATCCTATATCCATGATAGCCAAACTTATAGCAAATGTGTAATTGCAAAATCAGCCTCTTCCGAACTCAAAGCATATTTCAATTTTCCAAATTTTACAAAATGGAACACACCTATCTGCCATTACTTTGAGTACCCTTTGGGTTACTTCCTGAAGGCAGTGGTGTTTTGTTGTATAACAAACACATAGGACATTTCCTTGGCTTGTTGCCATGTGATGGAAAACTCTTTTTTCAAACCTTTCCTATTGACATGGTGTTTTTAAAGAAATTCAGAGGTCTTTAGCATGTTTCCTATCAACAGTTGATCAGTCTCATCATGGCCTTGTGCTAGAGGGGGTCTTGTAGACCCATATGGGATTGGGGGGGGGATTTCTGTCCCTGATGTCTTGTAACTGAATAAATAATGAAGTCAATTCTGTATCATCTGGTATAAATTCAGGGTTTCAATATGTAAAACAACTCTTTATGCATATTGTGAATCAGTAATTATGTTAAGGTTCTTTATGATTCATTAACACCCTGAGAATACTATATAATTCTGACTTTTGGACAGAATCATAAGGACTTAAATCCACTTTACTTCAACTTTTTGATTTCTAAACTGCCTTTCCTGATTTATTTGCATCAGTATAGAATGTAGGGGCTACAGTTATTGGTGTTTCTCTTACAATGTAAGGAAGGATCCAGTTAGTTCCCTTTATAAGTTTAATTCCCTTGCTTATGGTATAATTGCTGTTGACGGCTCCCAAAAAAACCACTACAAGCTCTTTGCCAGGGTTCACTTCCTACCCATTATTTGTCAATTTCAGTATCAGGAAAAGATTCTAGAATTTCTGCTGGATCTATTCCTGCTAATTGCCGATCTCAATTTTCATTTTAGAATCAACTCAGATTTTGTCCATGTAAGTTTTCAATTTCTTAGTCATTTTATGTGGTAAAAAAGACCCATTCTAAGATACTATCTTCCCTCTGCATTAAAATTCCTGTAGGGGAATGCTTAGGGGGCAATAGACTAGAATGCACTTATGCCTTGGATACACACCACCCACATGTGCAATCTGTAATTTGTCTTCCACTAATATCAATTCTTTCTCAGCATCAGCTGTTAATTCCCTTGGATTATTTATGTCCTTGTCTCCATCTAAGGTTTTGTTTAAATGAATCAGATGATCAGGTTTGATCCCAATAATGTGGAGTACATGGGAAACGTCTCCTAGCAATCTCTGAAACTAATTAAGAGTCTGCAATCAATCTCTCCTGATTTGCACCTTTTGGGGCCTAATATTTTATAAGCCTATTTTATATTCTAAATAATTAATAGAATTTCCTCTTTGTATTTTTTCAGGAGCAACTTGTAATTCCCAACACTGCAAAATTTTCTTTACTTCTACAAATACATTTTCTAAATTATCTACATTTGAATCAGATAATAAAATGTTATCCATGTAATGGTAATTTATAGATTGAGGAAATTGCTTACATATTATTTCCAATTGCTGCTGTACAAATATTGGCACAGGGTGGGGTTATTTAACAATCCCTGTGGGAGCACCTTCCACTGTTATCTTTTAGCATGTTGAGAACTATCGTAAGTAGGCACCATGAAGGCAAATTTTTCCCTATCTTTTTCTTTAAGTCGATAACAATAATAGTCCAATCTTTAGGTAATAAAGAAGGCAACAGCACTCTAGGCTGTAGAGAGCTCATTGGCTAAATTACTTTATTAATGGCTCTCCATTTTCCTGATTTCTTTTTAATAACAAATACAGGAAAATTCTAAGGGCTGGTAGAATCTCCAATGTCACTCTGTGAGTTCAACACTTGTTTTATTCTGCTTTTGTACAGCCTGGATGGCCAGCATATGTTTTATATATTGCCTTATAACATATTTTCCATAAACATGAGATGGGTTATGGTTCATTTTTTGATACTGGAGGAATGTTAATCTGGGTATTTCATTGCTGAAACAGATCATGACCCCATAGATTTACTGCTATATTAGCCACATATGGCCATAGTCTTCTTTGTCCTTTTGGCACTATACAGTCAACCCATCTCGTACTCTGTTTTACTTCGATAGGGTTCCATTCCCTAAGAATTGAACATCTAC